GCTGAAAAGCACTATAGAGGAGCATGGTGGTGTCACACTTCTAATTTTTAGGAGAAATATTTTCAGCACATGGTCATTAAATAGTGGAAGGCAAAAGCAGTGGCGTTTTACCTCTTCCCCTTTACAAGAACTACCAAGACGAAGGGCAGAAATGGTTCTAAGCCTGCGAATGGTCATCAAGTATTAACCATAGTAAATGAAAAGTGTTTTTATGTGATGTAGTGGCTCCCAGCATTAATTCTGCTGTAGTTCAGGGTCTGTTAAAGTTTGCATTAGAGAGGTTTATAACTCTGTCTTTTTAAAACACTCATGGATGAAATTTGGTATGTAGGTTGTCGGCCCGGATGCACTTTTTTTTCCTTACAAAAGAGTGTTTAAATTGATCCAGCCATTTTTGATTTAAAGATTGGCAAAAGCATAAAATTGTCTGAGTTTCAGGCACTTTATTTGCCAAGCTCTAAAGTGAAAACAACATCAAGAGAAGCACCTTGTACAATGGATGAATCCTAATAGTGCCATTGACATTGAGGCTTTGACTTAACCCATGAAATGAGATAAAGCTACGCTTAAAGTTACCATTTCATTCCAAGCTCAGTTATTGTATCTAAATATAGTGATGGCACTTTAAAGAGTCTGCTGGGTTGGAAATCTTTTTCTCCAGTTTTGCCAATATCCTTCATAGCATATTTAGGAAAAGACTCTCAAATCAGTACAAGCTTTTAAGTGAGCTCTCGAAATCTCAGCACATGTAATATGTACACCAACTGTTCTGAGACCCTGCAACACTTCTCCCCAAGAGACTTTATACCTTGCTGCAAGTCTTTTACTCACAATATGACAGCATGATTGATGCCACCAGATGGTAATGTAACTCCAGAATCAGTGCCTGAAACTTTTGAAGTGGTGGACAAAATACCCGCTACAACACCTTTGTGATTGTGCCACTTACACATGACTCTTGTCAGAGATCCAGGAAATTCAAGAGAAGAGAATACAATGAAACTGGATTGTAGCCTGGAAAGACTTGCTTATGAAATAACAGTGAACAACTGCAAGGATCCAAAAATGTATTTTTGGTTGTAGGCTGCCAAAAAAGTCTGCAGCGTGCATACGATTTATATAGGATGTACAGAATATATCTGGGAGCACAGAATGGTGTGTAGTAATATATAGGGATTTATGGACAGGAGTTTAGGATGACTGCGTACTTGTGAGTGGCAAATCCACGTGAACATTAGAGCAGGTCACTCTAAAAAAGCATCAATAAAACCTTCACAGCCCTCACATGCCCTTCTCCATCTTGATTATGACACATATTTTATAGGAAAGATATTTTACGCATACTTTTAAATGCCACTACTGCTTTTTTTTTGGGGGGGGGGGGGGGGGGGCACTCCAAAGTTTGAAAATTCAGTTTGTTTTAGTACTATGGGCCTACCTGTATAGAATGGAGAAAAATTAGCATTAAATATCTTTTAATATACCTCTTCAGAAGTCTATAAGGCATCTTTATGATCAAAACAATGCAAAGAGATTTTATGGTGCAATATCTAAGTACCTGCTGGAAGCAGAATAAAAGGGACAGATTCTGCTCTCTCATTCACTGGGGGAAATTAGGAGTGGCTCATGAATCTCAAAAATTCATGAGCTTTCAGACATTAAAAATGTCACTCATCCAACACTGAGTTGAATGCATCCTGGAACTGGTAAGACTCAACCAATATATTTCCTCAATATAGGAAAAAATAAAAAAAATAATTTCTGCTGCAGGCAGGTCCACGTGTGAGGACTTAAGCATGCTTTGCCATAAGTCTGCAAGAAGGGACAGTGCATTTGGTGTTGCCACATGTGGTGATTATGACTTAGTTCCCCTGCTTTTCCAGGGAAAAAGCAAGCTATATTAGTTCTTTATAAAATACAGCATGTTTTCTTCAACCTGCCGGCCAATGGAGGCTATTCCCTGTGCTGCTCCACAGTTTTGGAAAGGGTTACGGTCAAAGACTTCCTGACTCATGTAGACATGGGTGTAATCCTTGCTCTCCAATCTCCAGTCAGAATCATCCATTCCCTTTGCAATGGGGCTTTACAATACTCTAAATACCTTTGTAGCTACAGCAGCTACTATATTGCTATGATGCACTAACAAACATCGAGTGGTTTTTAATTTTATTCTGAGGAATGCAACTCAACAGTTCTGGTACAACAGATATTACTGTCCTCACGATGTTAAAACAACGACACTTCAAAGCACCTTTTGCTTTGTCCAAAATCAGATGCCCAAGTTTGACTAGAGCTGGTAAAACACAGGACTAACTTCAGACCTGCACACCATTGGCAGTGTCTATATGCATTCGCAAAGAGAGGATGGAGGAAAAACACTGCCTGAAATCTGAGCCCCTGAAAAGTCAAACACCACAACATGGGAAGCAAGGAGGAGCTGTGCTCAGCTCATACAAAGCCAGAGGCAGCTAATAACGAAAAAGTCTTGCTCGGACCAGTGATTTCTATTTTTAAAGCAGCAATTGTTTCCATGTCACGGCACCAGTGTAGCCCGGGTTTTCAGCAGATGTGCCAGTGACTGGAACTGTTCCTTTGGTAAATCATGAATGATAAATCTCAGACAGAAAACATCCCTTGCTGTGTTGGATTTTTTAATAGAATGCTGGAATTAAAACTGCCTGGGTCCATAAATACAGCGCTATCAAAAACGAAAGGTGGATCAGTGATGGGATGAAAAATATGAAAAATAACTTCTAGGTTGGCTTTTTGATAGTACCGCGGTATTACAAGTTGGGTTTAATCACTATTCTTCCTTTAATATAGTTGTAAGAAACAGTTAAGTGCCTTAAGGCAACCAGATGGCTGACATAATAGTGGCCTTCATCCCAAAAGCGGCACGTGTCTCTGCCCAGAACATGAAAAGCACATCTTTGTGGAGGTGTTTTGTTGGCTATTAGCTTGTGACAACTTGTGCATCTGTGAAAGAGCCAGGAGGACCACAGAAGTAGAGAACGAAAGCAGCAAGGAAGTACTGGATCCAGGCCCAGAAACATGGTGGGTGGAACACGGAAAAAAACACGGACAGCGCTTTAGGGCTGAGTGTCGGTTGAAAGGGGCTTGATGCTGTGAGCGAAGAAACTCTCCAGCTGTGATCCAGGGCACAGGACTTTGTATAGTCTTAAATAAACAGCGGTTCCTCAAAGACACCTTCTTGAGCATCATTTCTGCATCTAACCTGAATGACCCCTAGGGGACTGAATTTTGGCTAACTGCTTGAGCCTAGAGTTTTCAAGTCTTTATGGGCACCCCGCCACCTCCAATGCTCAAAGCAAGTAGTTGAATGTGGTGCAAGAGGAGGGACTCTGAGCACAGGAGAAGGAAATCTTCCCCAACTGCACAGCAGCACGAGGTTACTCTTGCTATGCTTCTCTTCCACGGGGGACAACAGTTGTTTGATCTGCATTTTAGTGGATCCACTAGTCCTTTTGTTTCATCCAACTCCAGCACCTCCTCTGGTTTAAGTCATTCAGGTCTGTATTTATAGCAGGTACAGTTTGGTGATATCATGTATTTCCTGCAGTTCCAGGATTAACAAGCTCCCATCAGTATCAATATGACACTCTTGGGGGAAAAAAGATGCTGTTCAGGAGGTGCCAATCCACTGCCTTCCAGGATTTCAATTCTGTCATATGCAATCACGTCCATGTAAATGGTACAGAATGTACCAACTTGTTCTTGACAATATCATTACCAAGTGAAGCAACTGTATCAACGTGTCTACAGGAGTGATTCTGATTTAAAAAGTCCAGCATTTGGTCTTAGAAACAGATTATATTATTTATAAAGATCTGTGGGTGGAAAGGAAGAAGCACAACTCATCTGTCAGGAGAACAAATGAGGAATGTATATTTCCTCCTCGGCATAATGACAGAAACAAAGAGGGATACTGTTTAAAACTAAATGAAGAAGAGAATTCATCCTATTCATATCTAAAGACCTGGATGGGGAACCTTTGTTACATTTCATTATGAGATAACGGAAGTATACTCAATCTCACGAACAATGGGGAGTATACTGTATAAGGCAATTCAGCCTGGACTTTTCTGTTGTGACTGATAAGCTAATAACCACAGGTGTTGCACCTGATTTGGAAACTGAATTTAGGTTTCTCTAACTAAAATGTTTTGAAAAATCTGGACTTCAACTACAGTGATTTTGTTTAGTTTATGTTCTCTTTTACATTCTCCTGAAGACGCAAACGCCCCTTCCAAAAACCTGTGTGAATTATTGAAAGGATGGAACCTCCGTTATTATGTTATGTATCTTTGGAACCACATAATAAAACCTTCAGTTTGCTCCCTAGATCCCTTTATTATTTTTCTCTTTTGCCTTGTGAACACAAGTTAATATACACAGATCCTTCTCTTCCTCTGTCTCAGCAGTGTGATTTGTTCACTTATCTTTCTGAATGCTCTTGTGTTTCAGCCTCTGCTTTCTGTCCCAAGTAGAGTAATTAGTCCACAGGTCATTTGCCCATGATCTGCAGTTGATCAAAAATTCAGTCCAAATAACAGTGCAAAACCTGAGTGGTTTATTACTGAGGTGGAAGCTCATCAACGGATTTTTGTCGGGTACGTACCTGCCCTTCCACTATCCATTTAGAGGTCGAGGTTTTGCCATCGTAGCCGGGCCGGAACTGAAGTGTGGCCGAACGAGGACTGATGTTGGAAATCACTAGATTGGATGGGGCTCCAGGAAGTTCTAGAGAAATTGAAATGTACATTAAGGAAGTGTAGAAATACTTTGGGTTTGAGGCACAAATCTACATGGCAGTATCTTGGCAGTTAGTATGGGGTCACCTAAACTTGAGTCAGTAGGTATGTTTACATGTGATGCTTTAATGTGCATTAGCCTAAATTAACATCTACACATGCGCACCCTTAATACGCATTAAAAATGGCAAATTTAGGTTATTTGCTAGGGCTGTGTGAAGCTTCGGGAGATGATTCGATTCGGAGGAGATTCGGTCCAATTCGGTGGCCGAATCTCTGAATCTGAAGCGAATCAGGGGATCAATTAAAAGGTCCAAATCAATTCAAACCTCTCTGAATCTTCGGAAAAGATTCAGAGAGCTTTGATGATTCGGGCAGTCCCTGGTGGCTGGAGCAGGGAGCTGCAGCTGACTCCGAGCAGGTAAGTACTAGGGGCAGGGGACCATGGGGGGGCCCCTGCCATCCTGGGGGACTCTGCACAAGCCCCCTGCCATGCCCCACCTGACTGTCCCAGCCCCCCATGGCTGTCCTGCCCACCCCAGCTCTGGCCCTTTAAGGAAAAAAAACCAAAACAAGAAAAGCCCTGGGACTCATCGCTCCTTCTGTGGCCTCAGGGCTTTGAGGGGCTCGTACAGAGCCCCCCCATGGCGTGGGGCAGTGGGGGGCAGCGGGGATCACCCCCCACCAGCAGGAACGGTGAGTCCAGGGTTTTTTCTTGAATTTTTTTTCTTAAAGGGCGGCAGGCAGGGCAGCCATGAGGTTGGCTGGGGGAGTGGGGCGGGGGTGTTGGAGGGCTCATCCAGAGTGGGGCAGTGGGGACTGCCCCCTACCTGGCAGCACCTGGTGAGTCGGGCCTTTTCTTTTCCAAAGTGCCAGGAGCTGGGGTGGGCGGGGGATGGGCCTGGCCTGGGCAATTAGGCAATTCGACAAGAGCTGAATCTCCAAATCAGATTCGGCCGAATCGATTTGGGGCAGTGATTCGAATCACCGAATCAAATCACTGTCCCTTGAATCGGCCAAATCCGAATCCGAAGCAAATACTAGCTGCTTTGCATAGGTCTACTATTTTCATCTAAATCTGACACCTGCAAATGCAGGTATCAAATTTCAGCGCTAATAGTTAAAGTGTATTAATGAACATGTAGATGTGCTAAAGCACATTAACGCTGCGTGTGTCCCAAGTCAGTCCATACACAGCATTAATGTTTTAGTCCCAAGTCAGTCCATACACAGCATTAATGCACTTTAACACCTACATGTGTAGACAGATGCCTGCCTAAACCCGCTTACTTAGCATTAAGCTAATGCGCATTAAATTTAGGCGCGCTTAAATGCATCTGTAGGCATGCCCAGTGTCTTTTTCCCCATAGACAAACACAGTTAAATATGGGGCTTTTATTTATCTTGCAATATATACATGCACAGTACTGTCTGCAGAGGAGATAGAAACGATGGGTCCCTGCTTCGAGCATCTCATTTAGAATCACAACAAGCAGTTCACATACGATCAAGAGGCGCAGCTTGATGCTTACAGTCAGGAAACCAGATTGCCCTTTCCAGTTAGTGCTGGGCTGTCAAACCCATCTGGCCCTGGTGAGTGGCCCAGGACTGATCCATGGGCCGGAAGAATGGCATGAAGTCAGCTCATGGGCCACATTGGGCCTCTGGGCCCCCTTCCCCACCAAGTTCTGGATCCAGCCCTGTGCACCTGCTCTGGCTGGATCAGAACTTGAGCCACATGCAGCACTTGCTCCAGCCAATCCAGGGTGGACACAACATGCAGTGTGGGTTCCAGACTGGCTGGACTGAGTGCTGCATGCAGTGCAGTCACGAACTGGCTAGAGCGGGTACTGGATCTGGCATGCGGGAAACCCACAGAGCCTGCTCCTCCACATGCCAGATCCAGTGCATGCAATGCCCAGTCCAGGCCCCATGCTGCATATGATGCCCACCTGGACTGACTGAACAGAGTGCTATGTGCAACTTGCATCCCAGACCAAGCAGAGTGGGCACCACATGTGCACAGTCCTGGACTGGCCAGAGTGGGCACTACAGGCACTGGATCTGGCATGTGGCTGGGTGGGGAGGGGGAACATGTCTCAGATTAGCCCCACGTGGGGCCAGCACTGGAGGCTGGAGGCTGGATGACTGACACCCCCATGCTACTGAATGACTATGTGACCTTAAGCAAGGTCTATCTGTGCATCTGTTAGCTTACCTGTGAAGAGGTAAGCTACCTACAGTGTATGGAGATTGCATATATTAATGAAAGTAAAAGACAGATGCTGGGAGGGAGGTTCTTGTGATATGATGGCAGGACCGAACCCATTAGCAAATGTTGGTAGCTCTAAGGAAAATTCTCAGCAATTTCTGCTGATTCTGCATAGCAATGAGACTTCCTAAATACATTTTGGGAGATGGGGAGGCGTGTTTTAGACAGGAGAAAGAGGTCTGAGACACAGGATTGCAGCGAAAGTTTAGACTGAGTTTTATAATGTTTTCTTATCTGAATTATCAAAAACCAGATTCCAGGGAGGAAGCTACATGGATGCAGACTGAATTTTGAGCAGCACAGAAACTCCACCCCACCCACAGCTAACAAGTGCGAAGTGCCTGTATTGTAATCAGCACTCATGTGTAATGCAGCACCATGCAAGCATGAAGAATTAAAAAGGAGCCTTCTCTGATCTACATGCTTAGGATGCAAGAAAATCTGTTCCTTCATTCCCACATGATGCTCGCCGGCAGGGTCGACCCTAGGGAGGTGCAGGGCCCGTGGCAAGTCAGCCTGTGCGGGGCCCCCTTAACACCACATGGGGCCCGTGGGACTCCCACAAAGGCAGGGCATGGGCTGGGGTCTCCCCGTGCCCAGTGTGGGGGAGTCTTCATACTTCTTCCATGGCACGGGGAGGAGCCACCAGCACCAGGCGGGCCCCACGGAAGGGGCCGCAGCTGCTCCGCCTGGCTCCGTGGGACCCCCACAAAGCACAGGGCCTGGGACAGTCGCCCCAATTCGCCATACCCGGGGGACGGCCCTGCTCACAGGAAGCTTGCTCAATAAACTTGCCAAAATGGGATGTAATCCTTATCCAGCTATGTTCAGGAGTGGCAAAGGAGTAAGGCTACTTAGAGAAGTTGTGGATTCTCCATGCCTGGAAGCTTTCAAAAGCAGGTTAGACAGGCACTTGGCTGGGATGGATTAGTCAGGGATGAACCTGCCTGGAACAAGGGGCTGGACTATACCTCGTGAGGTCCCTTCCAGCCCTATGATCCTATGTACACAACAGCGCATGGACCTGACATCCCTGAAAAAGTCTGACTACTCTTCATCAGGAACATACCGGTATCTGCTCCGCTGTAGGGAGCTGTCTCTTTGTTTGGACTGGTTTGAATGCACTTATTGTTATGTATTTCGGCTGCCCTCTTTCATGTGTAAGTGGAACAAGGGCGATTTGAAAATGTTTTCAAGGAGAATAAAAACACTAACTAAAACAATTAAAAGAACAATTGTTTAAACAGAAAAATAGCAATTATCCGAGGCAGGAAGTCAATATATTAATCAATTGTTTTACAATTCTGTTCGTTTCTTTTGCCCCAGATTTCTTTCCATTTCTCTGCTCAGGTGGAAGCTTCAGTAGTTTTATGGCTCCCAGGGCCACATTTTCTAAGCACCTCCAAGGCAGTATAAAATCAATCAGAATGGCTGCATTTCAGACCACCTTTCTTCTTGATGGCTTTCTGTATTTCAATGAAAACTGTCATTTCCCACCCCCATCCCTTTCTAGCTATCTCTGGGATACGGATTTACCGTAAGATCTCTAAAACCAACACTCCTCACTTTTTTCCTTCCGAAAAAACATGCTTTTATCTGCATTTTCCAAATACCTTACAGTGCATGCAAGTAAGTTATAATACTTAGAGATGGAAAATCTTTGTTTTAAAGAGCACCTCAACCCATTTTTTTCCCCAAAAGTATTTTAATAATGAGCACTGCCAACCTCCAACTTAATAGGTACTCTAAAGTATTTCATTACCTTTTGCTCTCATTCCTCCATCTCTACCATCGCCTTTTTTGTGCGTTTCAAGCAGCCTCGTATTTGCAGGAATGATTCATTTCAATGAGTATTTGTTGTGCTAATGTTAGAATAACAATACGTTGTACAGAACCTCAGTTCTTAAAAAATAAAAGCCCTGTTGTTACTGTACCCGAGATCAGTCTCTTTTGAAATGACAGCAGGAGACAAGTTGACATATTTTGCTTTTTCACCGGAGGTTTACCAACCTGGGGGCACTCCAGAGGAGATGGTAGAGGAGGTGACCAGACCAGTCCCTTTGCCAGTCATAGCTGCCACCTCAATCGTGTAGGTGGTTAGAGATGACAGACCAGTAATTTTGTACTCGAGGGTTGTGTTGACTAGTGTGCGAGCAAGACGCGATTCATTCCTGCCGTACACCTCCCAGGAGACCTGGTAGCCTAGAAAACAATTACACACAAGTCAGGGAGCTGTAACAATAGGCTTGTCTGTTTTTCCTTCCTATTTTACCATTATTCAATAATTCAGAGGTTCACTAGAGAGCTGGCTTGGCTTGTCACATATTACTGCCTCAACCCGAGCGTGGGTAACTTTTTAGAGAAGGGAAAAAAGGCACATATTGATATAAAGTCATTTAAAAATACCTAAGAACCTCTCAAATACTATTTTACCCTCCGAGCAGTTCCTGTAGATGCTACTAAGACATCACATGACCATAAAATTGAAAGAGGGAGGGAAAGTGGTGTCCGGGGAAGAGCTTTTCTATCAATATATAGTGCACACTATGAAAAGGTTTGGGAACCTTGGGAATAATCTCTCTCTCTCTCTGAAGGGTAGGATGTCAATTTATGAACGCTATAAAATAAATCAGAGGAAACACTGGAAACCATTCTTTGAGCACAAAACGATCTCACCAGCAAGGAGTGAAAAATCTCCACGCCTGGCTGAGCTACTTCCTTTCTAGGCTGAGGCCCTTTTCATTGCCAAGGATCTAGGAATACTTGCGAATCAGATTATAGTGACCTGGCAGGAACACAAGAAATCTTGCAGGACCTAAAAGGTCTCTGCTCTCCCTCACTCTCTCCTCCCCCACCCCCAATACACCTCTTCTGCTTAATGAGCCATTATCCTCTCTCCTACAGCCTGGTGTAGCCTATCTACTGTCCTAATCTGTACAAGTCCTGAGAGCCTCCATCACATGCTTCTGTTGTAACCAACCTGTTAAATCCTTCCTTTCTTACCTCTTTTATTATAGCCATTTCCCTTCCACAACCTTTCCAACGGCTCTTGGCTTGCTTCTGCCTCTGAATTTGCTTGTTCTTGTCTGAACACTGCGCAGGGGGTGGACTGGATGACCTCCTGAGACCCTGTCCAACCTTAATTTTCTATGATGTCTATGACTCTTAACAGTTACCTGATTTTCCCTAATTTGAACCTCACTGCGTCAGGCTCCAGATACCCTGTCAGAAAAGTCTGCTTGGTTGTTGCTTCCCCTGTGATTTGGAGCGGGGCAAGAAAGGACGTGGAGCTTCTGAAGTCAAATGAAGTGGAGGCGATTTCAAACTGAGTACAAGAATGAAACCCCGCTGACTGTACTGTGCACAAATCAATCTGGTAGAGGAAAGCCATCCATAACGGCACACGCTTCAGCATAACCTCCCCATGATGAACTCAGACAACTACCACTATTTTCCATAACAAGGCGATTTTATAATTTAAATAGTAAAATGTCCTGTGATTTTAATGAGAAGTGTTTCCTTCAATGAGGAAGTGTGACTTCAGGCACCGAGCTCTGCAACAGAAACCAGGAATTCCTAAATGGCTTATCCCAGGTCACTTAAGTGCCTGAGATTCACCATCTGGAAAATAGGAATTAATTCAATTAAATCCCTCACTTCCCTACAACTCTGAAGTGTTGTGGAGGGGGTTCAATAATGTTTGTGAAGAGTTAATTGTTATTCCTTGACAGGTCATTTTTCTATAGCACTGGTGAGCGCTAAATTTTGGATTCAGTCCGAAGGCATCTGTTGCCAAATAGACAAAGGGTGAAGGGCCAAGGGAACAAGACTGCATCAAGGCTCTTCACACTGTTGGGTCCCAGCAAAGATGCATGGACTGGTGGGGCAGAGTCAATCGCACAGCACCCGGGCAGGATCCTCTGATTCAAAAACACTGAAGTGAGGGCATAAAACACTGGCCATATTTCCAGCCTAGAGACTGCCAAAGGTTTAGTCACAGCTGGGATGGGAGCTGGAAAGGAGCTGCACAGCAGCCGTATAGTCTGCCCATGAGTTGTGGGACAGGTTGAATTCCTTTCCCTTCTTTGGCCACGGACAGGTGTTATATTTGTAGCATTAAATATGCTCCTGTAGCTCTACCAGAAGTAAGCGGACAGCCATTCAGCCTACGTGCTGAGAGGCTTTGCAGCTCGACAAAGAAACGGCTGTCCATACCCTTATTCAGGTTGTGCGCAATAAGGGAGGCTTTTTTTTCCCCCAAAACACACAAAGCAAGCTAAAACACACAAAGCTTCTTTTTTTTTTAAAGATAAAAGATGAATAAGGGATTTGCAATGCTCTCCAGTTTTGCTTCCAGAAGTAACAACCACACCTCCAGGTGTCCTAAAATCTGAAATTTTCATTCCCAATTTGAAAAGCATTGGTTTGTCACCGAAACATGGTGATTCACCTCATAACATTGCATACTTTGCTACAGCACTGCTCCATAATCTACTTTCCACGTGCAGAGAGACCCAGTTTGTTGCATGTTCGGCACATACTGTCCATGCTTTTATTTACCGGGGGAAAAAAACCCAAACATTTGCTAGGGAAAGTACATCAAGATTTATCGTCTGCAGTGCCAGTCTGGAGCAGGAACAGAGACGAAGTGTTTAATGTGGATAGTTCCATTCCAATAATAAAACAATCTACATGTATCCTTTTGAAGATGAAAACCACAAAAAAAACCCCTACATATGCACAAAATGCACATTAATAAAGCCTAATGAAATCAGCAAAGACAAAATAAAATAAAAACAATGCTGAAAGGAAAGGAAGTCCAGCGGCAGAGCCCAAGTAGCACTTCAGCCTCGATGACCGACAGATGGACAGAACTTAGGGACATGTGGCGAGTAAAAATGCTCTGTTTTACAGGCAGAGTCTGTGCCAGGGATGCGCGCCGGGTACTCCAACCGGCCTGGGCAGAGCATGTTTCATCTGGCCCGAGTAACAGCCAGGGGAGGAAAGGTGCCATAGAAGCTTCCCTTATGCTTTGGCATTGCACCGTCTCCATAAAACGCCGTCTAACTGAAACTAACGACCGGAGGAGTTTCAGAAATAATTTTCTGTTGATCTGGAGTAAATTCTCTACATGAGAGCAGTACATCCAATCACAAACTGTCCGTCTACATCCAGGCCCTCATAAATCAGAGTTTACCGAGAGAGAGAGGAAGATACTGAAACGTACAATGAGAGCAATGGGCAATTTACCAGCGCGGGCTGCCTGCCTGGCAACCCCCTCCCCGCCTCGCTCGCCTTCCGGGAGCCAGAATTAAGAAAAACTCACAGTAAATGATACCAATGAGCAGAAGCGATGGAGTAGTGCCTTCCTAAGCACTCTTACATCTCCAAGCAGCATTTTATAAAGCCTTGGGCTATTCAGAGAAATGAATGATTTTGCTGCCCCTTTCTCCCAGCTCTAATGCAATGTAAGGGGGAACTTTTTCTTTCTTATAAACCTTGCCTGGCATGTTTTTCCTATGTCTGTATTCCCTCATAAACAATAGGGCTTTCTGAGTTCGGGCTTTCTAAAACAATTTACCCCGTGTACGAAATAGCCCATCGTGTTCCAAGTCATTCTGAGAGATGGCAGCCTGTCCCTATCAGACCAGTTCTGCAGTAGCAAATGTACTGTGATTTGCTCTGTGGATTGCTAATTGCAGTGTTAACCTGAAGGTATTATCAGAGCAACACTGAAAGCATTTAATAATAATAATAGTAATAAGAGTAATAATAATAACAATTCTGTATTTGCACAGAATTTTTCATTCTGAAAAAACCCAGAATATTTTTACAAACTTCGCAGAGTCCAGATGCTAGGACTAGATATTAAAGTGATGGGAGTACTGAAAATGTCATAGCCTAGACTAGATCACCAAAAAAATCACTCCTGTCTCAATATCAAACATGCAACTACTTGCCGGTTAGAAGAGGGCAACACTTTAACCGGACCCACGATACAACAGAAATGAGCTTGACAGGATCTAAGGAAGACTCTGATGTCCATTTGAAGGGACTGGGTGAATTAGATATAATGAACACGGCCACAAGTCAGCTCAAGTGCCCAACACTTTGAGAGACGATGTGGTTACAGTTATAAATCACAGGCTAAACGATTTGTTTACAAATGTCACTTTTATACTTTAGGCAAATCCATCTACCTTTTAAAGTAGTAAATATTGAAGGTAATACTTAAGTTAATATCTAACATCTAAGTTAACATCCTAGCCCAAGCTTTTGAAACTTTAGGCCTCAAAGTAACCACCTAAAATCATATTTGCTCCCTAAATAACTGCCCACCTATTAAGAGATACCAAGTCTTTACAGATCCTTGTGACTTCAGTGGCAGCTGCTGGCACTCAGCATTTCTAAATGCCACTCCTTTAGGTGTCTAAATATGAAACCAGGTGCTTCCATTTAGGCACCCAGCTTTAAAGATTTACTGAGTCTATATACTTCTGCCATCCAAAGCCATCAATTTTCATACCCAAACCACTGAAATCAATGCAGAGAGCAATATTTCAGGAAAGTTACTTCAGTACAAAGGAACAGGTATGTGATGTGCACGGAGACAGAGACAGCATGGGAGGCTCATGCAGACATGCTGCATGCTTGAGTTGATTGGAAAACATTGCTGGTTCCAGATGCTGTTAGAATAAGCAGTTATCTCTGAGTCAAAATGGTTTGTGTAATTGTTTCGGTTTCACAAGAATTTTATTTCAGAGTGGAACCGGAAAAACCCTTGGCAATGAGTCAAATATACGGACTCATTATTTTTAGAACAAAATGGTTTAATTTTCCATTTTCCAATAACAATTTTGAAAACGAACAGAACCCTTGGCAATTTTCTCAAATAACCCTAAATGATCTCTCCCCCCCGCCCAATTTTACTTTGAACAGAATTTTGACATGTGGAGGGGAGTGAGGGGTTGGGGGTAAATTGTCCAGTTCAGAAGGAAAACAGCCTTTGAAATCTCAGACTGTTGCATGAAACAACTTCCCTCCTCTGCACAGAGCCACTGCACATTTTACATGTCTCTAATACTTTCCATCTGCAGGCAACGGGGTCTCCTTGTGCCAGACTTTCTTCCACTTACGATGTTTAAGCAGACTTAGGCAGTGAAGTGCAATTGTATTAGACCCTGTTCAAGTCCACTAATGCATCCACTTTTGTGATACAGACGTCCATAAGAATGAGTCACACAGCAGTGAGGAGGAGGACCCACACACCTTTTGTATTAACCATATATCAAGGACTCGAGGAGGGAGTCTATTTATACTCCTAATAGTTGGAATAGAACTTGGCCTTTTGTAGATAAGTAGCAGGAACATTGTCAAGCATGAATTATCCTGAACAAAAATGTGTGCCTGATGTTTCAACCAGGTTGACACACAGTATATGAATACATGGCGAGGAAAGGTCAAGAGGAATGCTCAGGAAAGAGCCCGCAGTGGGAAGCTGTGTTGTTATCACGGCGCGGTCCACATTCAAAGACAGTCAAATATTTCTGTCAAACCAGAAGGCAAGTCTGTAGATGAAGGGCTTGGCTAACTTGTTTTTTGGTCTTAGTTGTAACCTTTTAGTGCTGCCAATCAGGATTTTGCAGTTGTAAATCTGGCATCTGGAAATCCTGACCTTTGGCACAAGGATCAAACGTAGTCTCAAAAGTTTCAGAAATCTAGTAACACAGGTGGAGCTAACGGGTGATTTAACAAGCTTGAAGACCCAGTGGGGAGTTGATTTCTAATACAGGCTGCATCTTCAGTGGCCACAATCATGGGCTGGTAGTAATTGGACCTGTACCTTCCGTAATATGCCCCAGCTGACATTTCAATTACCCTAAAGAGGAAGAAAGAAGCCTGCATTCTCAGTAGGCGCTTCTCCTAAATGCTCTATTATCCAGTCATTTTTGCACTGCAACGATACATTCCCCCTACACATTTTTCCCCCAAAAGGATAACAGATGATACTTGCCTGTAATGATGCCATTTTTCTCTACAGGTTCTTGCCAGCTGACCTTGAGAGACGTGTCCAGAATCTCAGTGAAGCTCAGGTGTCCCACAGCTCCTGGCTCTGGCAATCAGAATGGGAAATCTGTTAACAGGAGAATCCCACTAACTTTTGATCTGATTCAAATGGCAAGGTTAGGGCTGAAGAAATAAAACACTGAGCTGAAGCCAATGGAAACCTGCAGGAAATATCAGTAAGAGCTGCAGGGAGGAGGGGAGATGCAAGGTGTTTAGAATCACTCTGGCTATCATCACATAAATTATTTTATCCAGTCCTCATCCTGACTGGGCAAAGCAGTATAGACTGGCAGCAGGAGATTTACACAGAACTTGTTCTCAGCCTCTCTTCTTGATCTAATCTAATTAGAACAATCAAGCTGGCTCGATCCTGAAAAGCAATTGCATTTCTTGTTCTCCCTCAACCCTATCAGGCAGCCTACTGCTTTCCTCGTGCCTTTGCAAAGAGTGATCACGTCTTTTGTCTGCAAGAGCAGCACAGGCCGCACACTCACTTAGGCAAGGACTTTTAACTTTGCACGATCAAACCAAGGTCAGACTGATGCAGCCAGTGCTTGGATAAACTCTCTTCAAACAAATCGAAAAACTGCCAAGCATGATGGCAATGATCTTCTGTGAAATGTGTAGAACTGTGTAAAACTTTGAATGTATCTTTATGGCATAGCTCAAGAGCTCCTAAAAATTTCAGTTCCCTGGTGTACAATGAAAGAGTATAAAATGGAACGACTGTCAAAAATGTGCCCTCCTCCCTCAATTTTGATCTTCAAGGAAGTCGCCCTGGCTGGTTTCTGATCCAACGGCTGTTCTCTCTCCAAGTGATGCACTGGAAAGGGAAGTTTTTGCTCACTTTATATTCACAGTGCTCCTTTTACCTGGATCCTTGCCCGAGTCTGCTGTCCTCTAGCTCCACTGACATCAGTTGGCAATTTCTGGGCTGCAAATTCATATTTGTTTCCTCTTCACTTTAGTCTACTTTCTTATTCTCCTCCACCTACAATAAAGCAAGCCTGCCAGTAGGCTGGCTACAGCCACATCTGCAATTCTGCAGTCCCAGCGAGGAGAAACCTATGAGACCGTTCTGCAATATCCAGCAGTCAATGCACAATGCAAAGAGCTGCTAATCTGGTTCAGCATTCAGGAGCGCATATCTGCAGTGGGCGTAATCTCCCCACCCACAAAGTGCTGCCTTTGCAGTCCAATATTAATGTTATTGTCAAATTTTAAAAAGAGAATATTGTTTACACTGAGCCACCAAAGCTCATCTCTCATTGGCTGTCAGAGCATGTTTGATCTACAAATGATCGGCAACCCGATTTTATTTAAAATAATCTAGAATCGTTGTAAACAAAGGCAGAAAGTAACCATCTGTTAGCAAAGGTCTGGAAGGATTACATACATTGTAGATTTATTTTGTCCACTATTCAGCTGTGGTCAGTAAACCCTGAAATACAATCCCAACAGTTCAAAAAAACTAAGTCTTGGAGCCACTCCTTTGATTCAGTGCGTCCTCCTCAAAGATACATCCAGGATGCAGAAGGACTCCAGGATACTGCTTATTTTTTCTCAAGCTATGGTAATACAAAGGGAAACTGTTTTTTGAACAGTATTTAAACAATTCATACTATCTGTACAGTGTTAAGCAAATATAATAATTGTTCCTTCTTGTCTTTGTGCTTTAATCATTGGGTAAACACTTATGAGGTTAGATTATTGTCTCACAGGGTACATCCACACATGAAATCAGTGTGCATGAATAAATTCTGGTAAAATCCATGCTGGAGTTCACTGCTCCTGGGTGCAACATTTACATGTGTGCCTGGGACTGCAGCACACTGAGCCAGGGCAGCGCAGCCCCAGCTGGCAGGGGCCGAGGGAGTCAGCCTACCAGCCCAGAGCTGCTCTGCCCCAGGTCAACATGCTATGGAGGAATGGGATGGGGCATGAGGGTGCTCCAGTGCAGGGCTAGCTGGCAGGCAGCTCCCTCACTGTAGCTCTTGTTTTCCAGCCAGCCCCATTTAGTGTCTACATGTGCATTGCAGTGCACTAAATAACTCTGCCATTGGACAGTACTTGTGTCAGGAAGTACTAACCTATGGCAGAGTTAATTAGTTTACTCCAGCCTAATAGCACTGCATGTGTAGACAGTGACACTTTACTGCAGAGCTAATGAGTCAACTCCTCAGTAAAGCACACGTGTAGATGCCCCCACAGATTTCTAATGATCATAATGCCGTCTCAGTGATCTGCTAAGAAACAGATGTTCTAGGCACAGGAAATCTGCTCCTTGAGCAAAGAAGGCATCATAGGGTCTAATATATGGACAAGATAGACCATGGAGGAAAATCCATGGATAACTATTTCATTTTTTATATGGGCTTTTTCCTCCAACATTCACCCAGTGGACAAGTTAGGCAGTCTTTAGCATGTTACTTCTTGAATGACCACGCAGTCCACAAACCGATTCGTCTTTCCAGAAACAACAACTATGATAACTTACTGGGTACCGCAAACGGCAAAATATTATTCCTAAAAAACTTGCCTGTCTGTTAACCACTTTTTTTCTCATTTAAATATAACCATGGTGTTCAGTGAGGGGAAAGAGAATAAAAGCACTGTTTGGAGTCAAGATTATTGTGAACAGATGACAGGCCAGGCCACCTTCACACAACTTTGCCACTGCAATTTCATCTTGATCTGCAACAAAGCCATGCTAGACATGTTGGCCCCAAGCTTCTCCTGAACAACCATCTTCAAACGAGCCTGACTGGGCAAGATGCATAGATTTTTTTTTTCAATGCAGCACTGATTTACCAAACTCATCCTAATTTATTGCTACAGATTTGAGTCCAATTTGGCAGTCTGAAAGGCTACAGCATTGTTCTGATTCTAATACTTATAACATGCCAAAAAAAGCTAATTGTATAACTCGTTGTAATATGCAAATAAACATGTTTGCAGAGTACTTACTGGGGCGGGGGGGACATATTGGGGCAGCTAAAATTAGTCTCCTTAAGCCATATTCAGGTATCTAAACTCCTAAAGAGACCAGACTGATTTTCAAAAATGCTGGACACTTTTATCTCCCATTGACTTCAGCTGGTGGCTCAGTGTCTCTGATAATCAAGTCATGTTTATGTTGGCCATATAGATACATTTGGGAGTTTAATATAAAATGCCCAGGTTTGCAAATCTCAGCCATCACTTCCAACAGAACAATCTTCAAGCACTGCAGCTCCCTGAAAGCTGAGCGGCCGTGGTACTCACTGTCTTCGAGAGTGTGCAGCAGCTGCGGTGTGCTCTGTGGTCCATCCCCTGGGGTGGTGAAACACAGGACTGATGTATAATAAGCTGTGAATTTCTTCAAATTGGTAATGCAGCCACTGTGAACTCCATGAAAGTCCGGAGCGATGGTGACCACAGTCACAGTCTCTGGTGCATCTACCGGCCATGCTAGGAGCTAGATAATGTAGAGAGAGAAGAACGTTCATTAGACATTATTTTCATTCACAGTTTCATACAGTTGATGGCCAACACCTCATTAATCCAAATGTAAAAATACAACATTAAACAACTGTCAGCTTTGTCACTGAACATACTGATATAATGTTTTGACTACATTCACGGGAGGGATTTGCATATTACTTGAACCTATAAAAAGAGAATAAAAAACATGCTTTAGAAATGGCAACCAACATTTTTTCACCTGGGTGCCAAAGTTTAGCCTGCTAAATTCATATCCATGCACACACCAAACCGGCTTGTCAAAGACTCTCAGCACTTAGAGCTCCCATTGACCTCAATGGGTTTTCTGGCAGTGCGACCTTTTTGAAAATCAGGACACTTCTCTACAGGTACTTAAGCATGGCCTTCAGCCCTTGACTTCTGGCACTCTGATTTGAAAACACGGAGTGAAAATTTTAAAAGCACCATCACGGTTTTCAATTACAACAGCCTTTTAGAGACGTGTCCCGTTGGCTGTAAAGCGTTAGACCTTGAAATAAGAACGACTTTCACTGCGATGATGTTCCTAGGTTTTCCTTTACCTATTCCTCCCCTCTGAAAGTCAGGAAACATGAATAAACATAGAGAGATGCCTAACATGACCCACGTGTAAAAAAAATTAGCCAGTCTTCAGCTCCAGATAGTCAAAATATGTGTTTAGTTAAGACTATAGGGAGTCATTTTCACCTGAATGTTCTGTTTCTGAGAGAAGATGAAATGGTTTGCTTTACAGCTGCCTCAAATTTAAATGTGTTTCAAAGATTAGAACAACATTAATAATGGCTAAAGCTAATATATATTTGCTTCTCCTTTCCAAGTTATATCTGTGGAATAGTATGGAAACTGAATGCTAACGGTGGTTGTGCTGCTCTTTCTGGACAGTGGCCCATTGCATATTGCTCAGAAAATATACCAACAAAATAAAAGCCAGCACTTCTGCCAGTGAAAGACATAACAGGTGTAACCCTTTGGAAAAGCAGATACTTGGCTGACTACTAGTAGTTTATAACTCATTAAAAAATCATGTAGTACATGAACATGTGACAGAAATATCCTCCCCAAGCTATTCACAGTGCAATCCACAATTCCCAGGTGAAGCAAGAATTACAAAGCTATTGCAACTGGAAACGGTTAAAGAAATCCAGACAAAGAAAATATTGATAGTTTCAGGAAAGTTGTCAGTGTCCACTGGGAAATATAAATTGGGCTTTTAGTGTCTATGTACAATTGCGAAAGAAACTGCAACTTAATTTGCTGTGCAAATCCAAGCAGTAAAGCTCTTCAAAACTCTGGCCCAAAATGTGGAATTTGATGCAGACAAAGCTTTTGAATGAAACAAGAGCAAAGAATTTAAAAGACGGGCTCCGCAAAGTTGGTTGTGCTCCTCCTGCTTGGACGTTCACCAGATGCCGTGTCAGGTCTCAGTCCGCTTGGCTGTGCAGAATCTGCACATAGCCCAGGCACTGTGCCTGCCTTATCGCCTCTAGGAATATTCCTGAAACGCAGATCCTCTAACAACCCATCCTAAGAGCTGGAACCTGTGGTCCAAGTGCCATCCCTCGGACCTAATGCTGTCCCCTCGGACAGCCACATACTACCCTCTCCCAGAACCACAGACATGTGGGTATGTGAGCTACATTTTAACTCTAGGGCTACAACACAATGAGAGAACGTGCACACATATGCACACGTGCTCGCGCACACAGATGCTACACAGCCTGCCTGAAACCACTGCTGCTCTTTGCTTAACAATTTGAGAAACACAAAGATCTAGCCAAACATAAACCCTGTATTCAATTCCGTTGCTTCAGTTTCTCCAATGCTATGGGACATACTATAGTCTGGGATCAGGTCCTCGGGGGCAGTTCAAGATCCTTCTTTCTGGCATATGTTTTGTCTTCTGAACCGCAGTGGAAAGTCAGTTCAGCATACTTTCTCTGACCTTGGTTGGGGCCACAGCTACATCAGGCCCTACGTGGACTCCTGTATCATTCCCTCTACACCTGTGCATTTCTGTGAAGCTTCCCCATTCATTTCTTTTGGGACTCCTTTTTACAACCCTTCTTTGACTCACTTGTCCTTCTGCTCTGCTTGGGGAACTTCGACCCTCCATATCCCTTCCACAGCAGTAGGAAGTATTTGGTTCTTTCAGATCTAGTTATCTTTTTAGCACATCTGTTGCTGGTCCTCGAAGCTAAGCTCTCTCTACAGTCCCTGTTCTGGTGAATATGTGCTAGAAGTTGTTAGCGTGGGTGAATACACAGAGGTATTTCACGATACAGCAATATTAACACTGTAACAGCAACTGGAATTCCTACATTGTACATATATATATCCCCAAATCACCACCATTGTATAGTAAAGAAAATATTTTGGACAAACTCCCAACCCCTTTAAAATCAGCAGGAGATTCACCTCTGCATAAACTGAACTGCAGTGAACAAATTTTCAAAGGCACAAAGGTCAGTTATACTTACTCAACTTCCACTGATTTTCCCTAACTTGAGCCATTGAAAATCATCGCCCTAACATCAAAGGGCTTGTAACGCATCAAATGTTCCTTTCCTTTGTGGCAAGCACTGATACAATCAGGAGAGCTTGCATTTGGGGCAGCAACAGCTCACTAAATTCAATGTACATCTCCTTCAGAATATATTACGGATGTGAGACAACGTCTTTGCTACACAATAAGTGTGGAGATACTCAATCTGGCAGGAACAGTCGAACTATTACACACCCAGGAAGCTAAAATGCCTTGATTCAAATCTGGCTTCCGTTTACCTTGTATCCCTGATTGATACCATTGATGAACTGCTGCGGTGGAGGGGTCCACTGAAACTGGATGGTGGTGGAATCCACAGCTTCAGATTGCACGTTCTGCGGTGGAGCCGTCGGCACTGCTCGAAGTCAGCCGGGAGGAAAACAAAATACAATAGATTAAGGGTGGGGTGGGCTGGGGGTGGGGAGGAGAAGGGAAGATGAATAGAGACACCTTTAGCTGCCACTCATGAGTCTCAGAAAATAACAGCACTAAGAAAAGGGGTATGTGATTTATGATTTTGGTACCTAGCAGTGACTTAAAAGGAAAGGTAATTGGGTTATTTCTCATTTTCTATTGGAGAGTCTTTTTAATGGGAAGGGGGAGGAGATGAAATGATTCTTGTGGCTTATTATTCCACAGATGAGCTTCTCATAGAGACCCGAGACAGAACCTTAGATGATGATAGGTGAATACATCTCTTTCAATTATCCATGGCTGTAAGGGGAATCAATGGTTTCACCAAGAAATTCCTCAAGTCCTTTAAAATCAAACTGTTCTTCTATGCAGTCATGCAAAGATAAAGTGTGCGCATGGAGGAATTCTAATTGTGGAATTATAGGTTGGTGACAGCACCTGTTTATCATTTACCGTTGTGAAAAACATATTTTTATGAGCAAGTATTACCATGTGGGTTATAGCTTAATCCCTGGAATAAATGGTTTTTTGCTCATTTGCTTTTTCCATCTTGATATGCTATTTATTCATACGATATGAATATGCATTTTTAACCAGTATGTCCTGAGGCCTGTGGAGAAGCCAGCAAAAACACCATGGGTGCATCTACCGATTTAAGGCAATTTAGCCCAATTTAAGGTGCATTGAGGGTACACGTCTACACGTGCGTGCCCTTAATGCACCTTAAAAATGGCAATTTTAGGCCATTCGCACCTAAATGTGATACCTGCAAAAGCATATATCTAATTTAGGCGTGAATAGCTAAAGCACATTAATACACGTGTAGATGTGTTAAGGTTCATTAATGCTGTGTATGGACTGACTTGGGACTAACTTTAGTCCCATGTCAGTCTGCGCACATGGCCTTAATGAGCTTTAATGCACGTACGCGTAGATATGAGCCTAAATCGCCTTAATGTCCATTAAACTAACGTGCATTAAATTTAGGTGTCTCTAAATACACATGTAGACACAACCCATGTGTCACAAATATTTATTCAGTTTTTCACTATGGATGAAAACCACACAATCCAGACCTATAGCCTGTTTCAAAGTTCTCAGTACCCCCCAAAATATTTCAACCTTTAATAGATTGTCTCTTTAAATACCTTGCCAACTGTCTGTTCTGCTCCTTGTTTTTAGGGAATCACTGTGGTGGAAGAGGTGAAAATGGAAGTACTAATGGCCGTGCTGCTTTCTCTGACACAATTACTGCAATTTTTTTTACTAGGAAGCTGGTATTTGAGCATAAATAAGATGACAATATCCTTCTACCTCTGGAAAAGAAGTTGATTAAAGCTTCAAAAATATTACTGTTTCCAGCCACGTGCACTTCTATTCTATGCACGAGTGAACAAAACACTTGTCAAGAATTCCTCTGTGTTCAAATGGAAACTTTCCAGTGAAAGCTAAAGTCTCGGGTTGCACGGAAGTACCCACCGGTCCCTGTGCCCAGTGGGATTTGTGGTTACCTCGTGCCTTCCAAAAGTGGGTCATAAACTTTTAAAGCTTAAAAGTGACTGGGAAAAGCCTCCTTCTCAGGAAGACCTAAATGCATGAGAAGCCACCATAAGTTTTTAAAGAGTGCAAAGATCTATTTGTCCACCAGACGCTACAATCACTGGAAATAAACAGAGGGGGTCATGTCCATAGCTGCAATGAAACCAGCAGAGCTATGAAAAGATATATCGGTCTACTAACAAATTTAACACAGAAACCCGTGAAATAGGCACAGCGTTTCAGGGTTAATGAAACCATTAAGCATTGCTTGCGTGTTCATCATCACATCGCTGAAATTCCTGGATATGGCCTGCAATTTCAGTTATGCCTATCACTTGTTTCTGTAAATCCTTTAAAAGCACATCACCATTATTATCCCAAATGCCACAAATCTACACCAAAATCTGATGCTACAGCTCATGGATTAGACATATAATTAGAGAGTGCTGGGGTCAGGATTTATCTTGTACTGCTCTAAATTCCAACAGGGAGTGGGAAATTATTTTCGACCATGTATCATCATGCCCAGCATATGTTAATCAGGGTTATAATGTTAGCATAGTCATCTGCTAACATTATAAAAGTTCTTGGGGTCTGGAGAGTCAGAAGAACATTTCAATAGTACTACACACTGATAATGAATAGCATATACTACATTACTCTCATAAACAAGCCTCTTCTTATCAAGAGGCTTTGGTGAAATCTGTTTGTCATGTCCTCAGAGCTCGGAGATGTGTGGAGTTGCTTTCCTATGTAGTTTGTCTATTTGATGGCTAACACTAGAAACGTTAAATGGGAAAAATCTCTGCATCCTTGCATATTTTTTTATGGCTCTTTATTTTTGTGCCAGAGATTTTCTATTTCAGGAGGAAACGATCAAAAGATTTTGTATGCTTAGTTTCATTTTACAGAGTGATGGGAACTCCTCCTGTACAGGATCTGAACGGGAGGGTTTAATCAGCGTAGCATCATACTTCCTCCTTTCCTTCTTCCTCTCTCCATTTCCTTTATTTCCATGCTAGCATCCTGTTTGCATATGCTACCCTACTGCCAGGCTGACATTTCTATAAATATAATGTTAGATATAAATGTAATCTGAAAGGCTCTGATTGACAGCTATGTCTCATTTAAATCCGAAAACATCTTCAGGAGCAGTTGTTCAAAGAGTGCAAACATAAGTAAAGGTGACTGAGTACAGCTATACTGGATACATATGCCCGTCATATAAACCTATGCCTGAAAGGGCATTCCTACAAACCTATTCCTAAATCCTTTCTGTGGCCTGAACATAACCAACACGTCTTGCTCTGGGGCTTGTTTGCCACAGCCTTATTTTCAGGGTGAAGCCCTGACACCACTGAAGTCAACGGAAAGAACTGCTGTTGAATTCAATGGGGCCAGGACTTCATCTGAGGGCATTTTCAAGGCAGGGAAATCAGCCTTGTGAAAGCTGTCATATGCCACAGCACTGAAAATTTCCTGTTAGAGATGAAAAACGGCACCAGCAAAATACCGGTTTCCATTCTGAATCTTCACTTCACCTCTGCGGATCCCAGAGAGACACTTGGAAGAGTTTACTGAAGTATACTGAAATGCGGATAACCAAATACGTTTCCTTCAGTTCTTTTTTGAAATGTGAAATAGTTTTCTTTCATTAGGAGGTAATTTTCTAAAACAAGAATAAATCACCATAGAGCAAAAAAACCAAACAAACCCCGCTACGGTAAGAAAAATGATGAAAAAACATGACCAGAAAACAAAAGACTTGGTATGCTGGAAATAATTATTCCTATTATAATTCATCTTTGGATTCCTTTATAGAAAAATCAAAATCTGCATCTTAGTGAATACATTTAAGAGATGGCGAGTACAAGGCTGTCTAATATGCAGACACTTAATTTTATTGTAGAAACACAATACAAGCCATTTTTATATTTTTAACTGAAAAAAAAATTGGCTTTATTACTCCTAAAATTGACTTCATGGTGCCAATGCCAAGTTCCTTCTTTGTGTCTTGATATTACATTCTTCCATAGCATCTGAATGAGTTTACATTAAAAACTAAATTGGAGGAGAGCTCAATGTTATATTTACACTGGATCTGACCTACTGGTCAATCCACGAAAACAGAAATCGTTCTTCAAATAAACCAGGAGCGAGTTGCTGACGCTGAAACTGGCAACAGAAAATATTTCTAATTGTCCATATTATTTAGTTTCTTATATTCTGTAGTTCTCATTACCGAACAGCATAAGAACGGACTGATCAATATTTATCGACAAAGACATCCCTATGTATGGCTGCACGCTGGCCTTTGAAACGTCTTTTATGGTCATGTCTGGCACGATAGCTAGCATCTAGCACTACCAAACTACTCCAAACTGTACGTGACATCTTCTGGACTTGCCTGAATTTCAGAGCATGGCTGGTCTGACAGAACCAACCTTTACATGCCTCCTGGTAAAGTTCACTTGGCTGGAAATGTATTAGAATTCAACTCCTTCAATTGTAAGTTAATACATAGCATTCGAAAACTACTCTAAGAAGAAAAGGTCATGGAGGCACCGTGGATGACAGCCGTTAAATGGGATTGGCCGGCAAGATAATGGGAAGAAGGGAAGGAATTAAGGATAAGCATGCGTTCGTGTTATTGCTCTGCCTCTAGCTGTATGAATATGCACGGAAACCTTGTGCCAATTCAGACAGCCAGATGACAAGTTTTAAATGTAAATCTTTAGCGCTGCCTTACAGAAAAATCCCAAGCTCCCCGCCTTCAGGAAGCCGACTTCCACATCTCAATCGGGTAGGCTCGTAGCACTACGGGATTTTCACTCTGAGAAATCAGTTGTTCGTTTAACTGGAATTGTTCAGCTGCGTGGCCAGGCTGGGAGCTTGGGGAAGAGCTCTGCCTCAAAGGCAGAATTCTTGCCTTGCAAATCCTGATCCACCCCTTCAAGGAGTGAGTCCTATTCCTGCCCCACAGCTGGCCAGTCCCCTTTGTTTTCTTTTATACCTTGGTAGGTACAAAGAGAAAGCAGCCCCTGCTAGAAAAGGACTGGAGTTGTGGCCCATAAAGGAGAGCAAGGCTCCTTGCTCCTTCCTATCTTGGGAATTCATGGAGCATACCAGTTAGCCCCAACACGGGCGACTGGTGCCTCCCGAGTCTGGGGACGCACCAGTGGGGCACAACCGGAGGGGGGGGGGTCCCTTAGAGGGGTGGGGGAGCCAATTTTAGGGGGGGGACTAGCACTCCGTGCCCCCCTACTAGCCAGAGCACTTGCTGTCAGTGGGGCATCAGGGCTCTCGGGGGGGGCACATACCCCTTTGTGTCCCCCCCATGCAACGCCTATGGCCCAAGCAACTGTTTGTACTACACAGACTCCCCTCAAAGGGAAGAGGGTCTGCAGGTCCCCTCCTCTCTACTGAGGCATCTAAGCCTAAGGGGAAATAAGGAGAAATCTACTTTTTATAGATCTACTTTTCAACCAATGCAGAACATAGCGCTTGTTGGGGAGACTCCTGATCCAAGGGCAGCAGCTGCATTCCTTCCTCAGGATTATTTTCTAATTACAGAAGGAAACCCTGCTGGCAAATACTCAGTCAACTGGGACAGATTTCCTCATGCTCCTCAGCTGTAGGCCTACAGCATCTCTGTGACTCGCTGTGTGCTGCTGAGAGGAAATCCCTACAGACCTGGTTGAGCACACCCATATTGCCCTTATCCTCCTCCCCATCATGCCACCAAGACTCACTAATCTGGTGGTTGCTAGCTCTCGCATGCTCAGGAAACACCACTCACTCAACTGCTCCCAGCCTTTATGAACAGCACAGAGGCATCCAAGTCAGCCTCTTAAAGCAAAGAGCTAGGCTAGAAGTGGGGTCAGCAATATAGGTTTCTGTCTTCAGGGCATCAGACAGATGCTAAAATTACAACAGTTATCCTGTGGACAAATTCTGTGGTTTCACAGGCGCGTTGAGAGACAGATTTAGATCTGAAGTTGTGACTTCTAAGGAAGGATGAAAAAACTTCACAAGCTATGAAGAGTGGGAGAAGAAAGCGATGACCTCTTAAGCCAGGCACAGACATTACGCTTTCACTGGTATAAGGGATCAAAAATTGGTCTATACCTGTAACACAGCTGAAGCTCAGCACACACTGATTTTCAAATGGGACTAAGATTTCCCCCGGCCACCAAAGGGTTTCATAGTTGCTAGGCTCGGAAGGGACCTGAACAGATCATCAAGTCCGACCCCCGTGAACATGTGTTCTGTTCACTACCGATCTAAACCATGAAACTGCATAACATAAAACTGCATAAAATAGACTGATTCGACCTTGGGCTTTTTGAATGTCTGTAGCTAGCCGTAGTATATGAGCTGTCTGAGCATAAATGAAGCAGCATTTAATTTGGGGAGGAGCTGTCCAAGACAGAATGTCTCCGACGTATAGAAAGTTTAGAAGATCCAAGTGGCAGCAGCAGACTGAAGAGTGGTTTTCTCTCTTTCTCTCCTGAACTAAATACAGAAAGGGAAAAAATGTGGTCACAATCTAGTGGGGAGAGGAAATATCACCACCACTCAATCAGCTCTGTCCGGTTCTTAAAGAAACACTCTTTTGTGCAGGGGCACTGGCAGCCCCCAGCTCTTCATACACTGAGCAAAGGTCCTGGAGGACATTCTGTTCAAATGAGCAAAAGTTACTCTAAGCAGGAAGCAGGCACAAGCCCCTGTAAAAGGTAACATCAAAGTAAGGAACAGCTGGAGAAGGTCTGATGAAGAAAGGGGTATATATAGACACACCATCAAAGGATTATGCTGAATACCGCTCTGCAAAAGGCCTTTAAGGTTTAGCAACAGGCAAGCCCTCTGCCCTCTGCAGCAGGATGTTCAGTACTTTGCCAATAAGTCTCTCAAAGAACTTAATTGACATTATATAGTTCAGCTGCTGGGTACGCTCCAGTTGGAGGTATTTTACAGGCTTGGTCGTGAGTTATTTTGAAAACACTGCAGACAGCTTTCAGTAGGTCTTTGGGCCACCACTGCTAAATGCCAAAAAGACTAATTAGAGTCTAATCAGATGGCTTTATGGGTAAAAGCACAGGTCATACAAACAATGGAGGTTCACTGGGATGGAAGGTGGAGGGGAAATCAATGTCAATGTGCTGATCCACTCCCAGCACTCATTTCCTGCCAGGGTTTTTGATTGCCTGGCATATCCAATTAATGTCAGCTATTTTCGGTACCTTTTCATCCACAGAAAACAACTTTTGGACAGCACAGCTAAAATCTCCTTGTGTATGTGTGCAGGTGTGTGTGTACAGGCAGGAGGGGAGTGGGAGAACAAGCTGCATCGGTGGCATTTGTCTTTGGCATCTACTCTAGTTCACTTGATCTTAGCTATAAGACAGAGAAGCAATTACCGTATTAAAACTCTATTACATCCAGTAAGACCATTTCCACCTATGCTCTGCCTTAAATTCCTAGCCTCCTGCTCATTTGGTTTAGATGGATTCAACAGCCAGGAACAGACACAAGCAGCATGTTTCTATACATCCTCCAACAAATTAAGGCGTGTGGCATGGGGCAATGGTACATGACATATGGAGAATCAATATCAAACCCAGCTTCAATTTAGATTGGAGCTGAGCAGCTTCCTTCCTGTTCAACTCCAAATGTAAAAAGGCTTCAAACTCTTTAGGGTGGGCTGAATGCCTGAGGCCTTCCATACAAACCTCACCAAGGCATACCCTGAGGGATGACAATGTCCATCATGTAGCTATTCTACTATTTACCAAATCCTGATATGAAATGAAGGAAAATGTCTAGTTTTTCATCTGGATGTTTATCTTCCTGGGATCCTATGATCCCTGCTGACTTCCTGCCCCTGGGACAGGGGGCTGCACTCGATGATCTTCTGGGGTCCCTTCCGGCCCTAATGTCTATGAATCTATATTCAACCATATCTAGTAGATAGGAATTACACAAAGATGAACAAGTTACTATAGATTAAACACTTCCGCTGCATCCTAAACACTTCTACGAGTTAATCTGAATGCAAGACTGACTCCGCTTAATTTATAACAGGAGGTATATCCTTATAAATGACAACAGATAGCCAATCAATACGGTCTAATAATAATGGTGCGCACTGCCTAGGGACATTAGTCACTGGCAGGGTTAAAGAGAAGGCGTTGGAAGTCAGAAGCCTGACCTTAGCAGACGGAGGGTTAAGGTGTTGTGATAACTCAGAATGTCCAAATAAACAAGGAAAATGCAAACCAATGCCCAAAAGAAATTTTAAATTCTGAGTGCAAACCAATTCTCTGCAGAGGTGTGGACTTCAATGCGATATGCCATATTAAGTCCACCTAGTAGCAATCAACATTACAATATACATTTCCAGCTCTGTCAGACCTGTTTTCTAAAAGGGACAGAGGATATCTAGACTGTCTACCTTGCAGGACTGGATTCTCTGAGCTATCACCTAGGCAGTTCCCTTGATCTTTTAACTGTCCTGGTAAACTGCGGTGGCACTTGGATTATCTTTTCTAAGAAGCCCTGCTACAACCTGAACTGTATTTAATCACATAACAGTGTACTCCTACCAACAATTAGCAAAGTATTACACACACTTCACAGATAAAGAACTAACTGATGTACTGTAAAATGGTAAGGTTTTTTTGTGTGGATAGTTTAGTTGTTTTATGACCTGTAAAATAGAGATCACAACGCTGTCTAATGCTTGGAATTAAACATTACCCTGCGATTCTGGAAATAAGTAGAAACTCTGAGGGTCTGCTTTGCAATGTGCTGCAGCTTTTTAAATACCAGTTTGACAGGGTAAGCATGCCTTACAGAGGGTACAAATGTAATTAAAAATCCTTTTATTATAGAGTACTAATACCCTCTTTAGAGCACCTGAACATTGCCAGAGAGATGTAAAGGAGCCCTAATGTCACTGAGAAGTAGGAGCTGTGATTTCTCTCTGCTCTGGGTAAATGTTTAGATCCCATTTAAAGTTCTCCTTTAAAATCCTCAGTCTCTTGAGAATCTGCTTACCTATATATAGGTAAACACACCACAAATCCTCCCGCTGTTTGTTCACTCTTTCAAAAAAACCAGTGGCTACAAAGGATTTGTAGTTCCAATTTGCTCACCTCCTTGTAAAGTGTACTCCGTCACCGCTCGGCTGAATGCTCCCAACCCGGCTCCATTATAAGATGCCACCTGGATTTCATACTGAGTCCAGATGATCAGGTCTTTCACCAAACAGTAGTTAATCTCTGCACTGGTGATGTTCTTATACTGGTACTCCCCAGGGAGGCCTGCCAGGCGATACCTACACACAGGAAGAAAAATTCATTGCAGTCAATTAAATGGCATCAATTATAGCAAATGCACCGACTAGCAAAACAACTTCCTCCGTGAAGAGGCAATATCCAAATTTTTATTGCAGAATTATACAACGGATGATAAAAAAAATCATCAAAAACAACCAACTAACTCCTGCTAAGACCTTATCCTTCTTGACTGCTACGGTATTTATAATCTGATCTCACTGAGATTACATGCTCAGGGCTAAACAAAACTGGTATTTTATCCTGTTTTATGGTCGTAGAAAAATTACAGCTTTTTAAATGTGGCTTGTCTAGTAAAAGCGGTGATTTAGTGCAAAAAATATCCCTGACGTGATTTTTATCAGGGTGCTGCTGCAAATCAGTTTGAGAAATGCTCTCTCTCTCAGCTCCTGAAACCTGAAAAGGAAGAGCTCAGTGGTGTTAAGACCTTCTGGTGTCAGGGATTACCAAGCTCCGGCCTTCACCGGGAATTCACTTTCACAGCATGTTTATACGAAGGACAGAAATAGGGGCTGCTTTGGGACCAAAGGTAATGTTAGGAATGAGAATGAGACAAAGGGCTGTTTGGTGATGAAACACATTTGCAAATAAGGGTTCGCTGCAGATATTCTGCTGGAGAGATGTGGAATGGAAGAATTCAATCCGTGGTTCCCCCGTTGAAGTGGTGGTATGGAAATTGGACTCCCTTTGCGGTGTGTACCTTCACACTCCGGCGAACGACTGAGGGGGAATAATTATTACAGAAAACAACCAGCCCTTGGAAATTTGAGGATTTGGAGCAAGCCAGTTTGCTTTTTCCCCTTCAGGATACAAGCTGTACAGTAGATGCTTACAATATGGTAATCAACATATCAGAAATATGTCGCCCAAATAGCAGTCTGACTTGCAAATGAGACATTACCATTCGGTGAAAAGACAAATATGGAAACATTTGGATTCTTATTCATCACATTATTTTTATGCTGTTTTATTTACCCCTTGCTTGAAAATAACCAATTAACGCTTGGTGATATGAGAAAGGTTCACTGATTCACCTTGCAGCACAATTTTAAACGGTTTCAAGTTAAGCCAGTGCCACTTCTCTCTGCATACAAGACCTGGTTTCAACACAGATTTTGGAATAGATGCTTCCTGTAGAGATCTCCAGTGCGGTTCCTGGTCACTGCCTGTGCGACTTTCTGCTTCGTATTGCAACACTACCGGTACGTGGTTGCAGGCCAGTGTGTGAAATGTGAACCCAAAATCATGACACACGCAGCAAAGCCGTGTGAATTTTTCTTCGGATTATAGTGCGTCTCTCTGCCTCCCTTTGAATGCAATACTGGCTTTTCTCTTCCTTGCTGGTGGCCGGGAAGGTTGTGTGAGTCTTGGCAATGTCAGCTCTTTGCATAGCACTCTCCGTTTTGTCTCACACACGGAAGACAAGGCGTGGACTGCTCCCGTGATCTAATCTATTGTGCTCTTAGCATGACACTCCTCTAAACACAACACCGCTGGTGAGAAAAAGGGCAGAGGAAGAAGGCCAATTCAGACATGTCATGTCCTCCTGATTTATTCTCACCATATACTTTGATGCATACTGTATATGACTTGTGCAGCGTACCTTCACTTCTCAGAGCGGGCGTTTTCTCAGTTTAATATATCCTCTATGCTGGGATTCTATGTTGCACTGATAGGGTGACCGGTGTAATATTATAGTGGACATTTCCTGTATCAAAAGCCACTCAGAATATAGAGCTATTGTACCCTAACTCCACTGAAACTAAAATTCCTCTAACTCACACATTTTGATTCCCAAGCAAATGTTGGGTGGGAAAGATTTATTTTTATGGGATAATTTTACATTCCTGTTGAACAAATGGTTTGTTTCTCCACTCAGGAGCCCACATAACATATTTAAGCATGTAAAAATGTTTGCAAATTGAGGACAATGGACAAGATAACTTTCTAGTAATTTTGGAAGTGTTGTTACAGAGGAGACAGGGATCGACGAAGCTAATTTTCCATGAGCTGCAGAAGGAAATGCTTACATTAAACATCACTGAAAACGTTATATGGAGACAATAAGATAACAGAACAGGCTGCTAAGGGGAAGGAGGTATAGAACTGCAATCTCTTACAGCATTTATGGCCAGACTGGGTACAAATCTATAATGGGAAGTTTAATAAAGAAATCAACCCTGAGCATGTCTACACGTGCATTTACAGTGACTTAAATTAACTGCGCAGTAAGTTATTGCACAGTAAATGGGAATAGGCCAGCATCTACATGTGCGGGCATTAAGGCACATCAGCGTTGTGTGTGGACTGACTTGGGACTAAAGTTAGTCCCAAGCTGGTCCACACACACAGTGTGACTATGCAGTAAGACGTCCAAATGTGCGTTAGTGTGCAGTAATTAACTGGGTGTAAATTTGATACCCGCATGATGCAGGTATCAAATTTATGCTCAAGTCGGTGTAAGTCGCCATATTTACTGTGCAGTACGGGCATGCATGTGCAGATGTGCCCCCTGTGAAGAAACAAAGGAATGGACTGGTGGAGCCATTAGAAGTCCCATTGATCCCAATCGCTCTGCAGCAGTTGTTTTCAAACTTCCTTAAGTCACGGAACCGTCTTGTATCACTTTTTCTGCCACATAACCCCTACCCCATCCTAAAGACTGATGTGGAGCCAGACAACCCAGCCTGGCAATGGCAGTGCGCCACCTCCCGGCCTGCTCCACCGTTACCCTCAGTCCCTCCATGGAGCCCCGGCTGACCTACTGCAGAGCCAGCACAGCTGGAAAACCACTGCTCTACAGGGTATCAGCACCTTCCAAACCTGTACCTTACATTGTTATACATTGTTGCATTTCTCCTGGGAGGAAGTATTTTGCTCCTGGATCCCACAAATGCCCATGCCCATTGGCCAGCTTCAAGTACCTGTGAAGTATGCTGGATAAAATGTGCTAACGCTCCCACCCTCCCTCTCAACATCACTGTGTTCAGCTGTATATTAACTGTGGATTGTGACTGATGGGCTGCAAATCATTCCAGGGGCAAGCCTATCAGTCGGGCCTGGTTTAAACTGCAGGGCCAGCTCATGAATATTGTGGGCCAACTGTGGTGGGGGCCACCATTCTTGCACCCAGATCATGGCGCCACCCTCCCCCCCCATTGGCTGAGGCGGCAGGCTTCGGGCCTGGTTTAATTGCAGCAGCAGAGGCCTTGCTCCCAAGGCCTCTGATCGTTGCTGAAGCAGGTGAGGGTAGGGGGGAAGGGGTTGCAAAAGGGACAGGGGGAGGAGAGATCTTGGGGATGGGTAGGGGAGCGACTATTTGCTCCTTTGGGTGGGAAAACTGGGCTGCAGAGGGTTGGGGGTGCCTAGGGGCTGCCTTGGCAGACAGCCCTGGCACTGGGCTCTGTGTGTGTTTTCTCTTCCCCCGTCATCAAGCCCCAGTGCCCCAGTTTTCCTGCCCAGAGGAGCAAACATCCCCTCCCTTACCCAGTACCAGGGCCATCTGCCAAGGCAGCCCCCAGGTGCCCTCCCCGCTCTCCGCCCCAGTTTTCTGCCTGGAGGAGCCCACAGTCCCTCTCCTAACTCTCCCCAAGCTCTCTTCTCCCCCTGTCCCTTTTGCAACCCCTTCCCCCTTCCTTTGGCCTGCCAGGCTTTTGCTGCCCACTGGGAAATGCTTCCCCAGCTTGCAGCAGTCACCTTATTGCAACAAAATGGCATGATATGCCATATTGCGGCATTTTGTTGCAAATCACATTTTTCATGAAAATCACTTCATGTTGTGATTTTCACAAAAAATGCAAAACTGCAATTTAAACCAGGCCCTACCTATCAGGGTTTGTGCTCTCTCTGACTCTGTGTGTGTGCATACGTGTGTGTAAAGGGTTGTGCCAAGCATTGGGGGGAGGAATGAGGGGCACCAGCAGATCCAGGGGGCTGTAGGGGGAGTGAGATTTTGGGGGTTTTATTGGAGAATTTGTGATTTTTTTATCAGGGAAAACCAGGATCCCTGGTCATCAGCAAGAAAAGATGCAAAATCAGGGAAAAAAATTACCATAAAATGGCTGGAGAAGAGGGAATGGAAAGACACAGGTTTTACCAAATGAGGTATTTATTGTGTTTTCATTTCTTCAATTCTCTTAAATATGAAAAAGATCATTTGGAAAACGCATCAATGAGAAAGTTGAGGTGGAGGCAAGAGCTATATAAACACCACAGCTGAACCATCTGTCACTGGGAATCTTCTCCCTGCCCCGGGATGATGAGGTGAGTATCCACACTCACCAGCTTTCTTAACCTTTGGCTTATCCAGAAAACCTTCATCCAGTTCACTATCACCTGAGCAGACCTTCCAGTGCTAGGAAAGACAGGAGCACTAGTGTAGATAGACCCGGGAATGTTTCTTGCTGTAATTTTTCATGGGTGTAGAGGACACGACCATGGAAACACCAGCAGAATTCTGTATCCTGTCTCGCCTAAGGCTCCAACCACTGCATGGGGTAACGCAGCACTAGGCAGTTTCCTACACCAATGGCTAGTTTAGACACGGCCTTCTTGAGCAGAGCAAAGGCTACAGTTATCTTCTCTGTGTGCAAGGCAGCAATGCTGCCAAGTAGCAAATATATTCTGTAGATACATCTGAGGGATGGCAGCGAAACCTTAGAGAGACTAGGAGAGAAATGTATTCTGAGGAGTCTCTTAGTCTCACCCTTTCTTAGGAAGCGACACATGGATAAGCAGACAGATTGGACCAAGTGGCTGGTTTTAAGTTATCAGCTTGCAACTCTTCTTTGTTAATTATTATAGGCAGGTTGAAGAGAGCTTATTTATCTTACTGATTTTTAATCCGAAACCCAACCTGGCCAAGTTGACTTGATCTGTCACACCCTCCCTCTTTATTTTCTCTGGAAGAAAACTAGTTTACTGATCAAATTCCTATCCTTTGATGTAAATCATTGTTCATTGTTTCTTTGGTGTGATGTATGTGAAGACTTGTCTACACAGGGAAGTTACGGCACAGGAAGCGAGGGTATAAAATTGCAGTACACTAGATCCTTTGTATTGTCTCCTCAAACGAACCCTTTCAGTGCCTAGCACTTCACTTTCAAAGTGGAGTAACCTGTCTTGCACTCACTGGCTAGGGATAGAAGTTACACATAAACCAGTATAAGTGATGAGAAACCAGTTCAAGCCTGTAACACAACAGAAGTTCAGTGCACATAAACCAGTTTCAAAATGGCCAAAACTACTTTAAGAGAAACCTGGATGGATGTAGTATCAGACTTACCTGATTTAGTTTACATTGGTTTACTGAACTTCTACCCCAGATCCCCTCCAGACTCAAGTTAACTCACAGTTCCCCCCAGCATCCCAGGATGCTTTGCACCTCCCCTGCAAACTGCCCCAAGCACGGTGGGCAGGTCAGCCTTGGCCCAAGCTGTCTGCTCCAGCCAAACAGGGAGGCATGATCTGGCCCCGCCCCACCCCCGCAGCTTCTGGCCTGGGCCACTGCAGGCATGTGGCTGCATTTCCAGTATCAAAAGTGAATGTCTGTTCACTTGCTTATTGGTTCAATCTATGCAGCTTAGACTAACTTGCAAAGACTGAATCAATTCAGCCTCCCGCTTTGTGACTGTCTGTACTTAGCCACTGTGTACCTGGACAGTGTTTATATGGAGAATTTGTGCTAAGTGGTCTATGTGCTGGAAATCCAGACACTAGCTTGCAGGCTACACAAATCTTAATTTTTAATCTCTCAACTTCTTGATCTTTTGTTTGTCTGCCAGACACCATGCACATCCATAGCACTGGGCAAATAATTCCTTAACGCTGTTTTCTTTTCAGTTAGTCACACCACCGAGATGCCAGACTCTCATCCACTCACATTTTTAGCTCCAGATTCTCTAGGCTAGGGAACAAGCTGGATGCTCACCTTAGGATGTACCCATGGAGAACCCCATTGTGTTCGCTTTCAGGAGGAGGCTGCCACTGAACCATGATAGATTGATTGGTGCGGCCGCTGGCCACTATGTTTTTAGGAGGGGCGCTGGGGGGTTCTTCTGGGAGCATCAACCTAAAGGCAAAAAGAATGTGATGGGAAGTGGGCACTGAGATACAAAGACAGATAGTTTTTCTAGTTTAAGTATCCATTACATGTGAACCAGCTTTGTTTGCTAACGTCTGACGACCAGAAAGAAATATAATGCTGATCAAACTGCTGAAGACATGCATGAGATAGTTACAACAAATCAACATAATAGAAAATCAGTTAAGCAAGCAACAAGAAAGACAGCTGAGGTAGCCTTATTCTGTCTGCATCACCCAGGCTGCCACATCTCTTTAAAAAGATTACAAGCCTGAATGAGTTAGAGTTCAGGTCCAGAATCTGTGACTCCATCCAAATTGTTTCCTTCAGCTCCTTCAATATTTTTCATATCAAACTCCTACATTTTGCAAAAGCCATTTAGAGTTCAGCTGCTCTGTAATTCAAGCTCATAGCAAGCTTTGGTTCACAGAGGAAGGGAGATGCCTTTGAAACTCAAATAGATGAAGCCATCCTTCTATGTCACATCTGGATGAATTCCAGAAGTGACACTGCAGTGACAGGGTGAGAGCTATGCCCATTCCACAGTTAACCACTGTAGTTTAGACAATTGAAAAAAATATATATTTTGGCCCTGTACGTACTCATTTCATTGCCTTCTGAGGTCCTGTTCAATTGCTACTCCAGGAAGATGGCTTCATTTTGCCCCCTCTGCCTGTTGAATGTGCTGCTCCTGCTAATTGTCATTACAGCTAATTACTGCTCAACCTTGTTGAGCTCTTTATCCAGCCAAGAGTGGCTGTCAAGTGCCCATGCACATCCCCACTGCGGCATTAAAGGAGGTTTCATTTAAACATCCTGAACAACTGAGAGATTTCTACGCCAAGTATTGAGCATTACTCCACAGGCAGTCCTTTTTACCCCCGGATCTGTTTTTACTCTACCTGCTGGTCTCAGTGCTGTACTGGCCTTTTCCCACCTGGTTAACAGCACACACCCTAAACTGGTAGGTTCGGGCTGGAGTTAACCCACTCACAGTCACATCGGTCATCTTTGGATCCACGTTCGAGAGGTGCACCTTCCAGGGGGAGTCTGGTGGAGCAAAAGACATTTGGAAAACATTGAGGTACTTGTTAAAAAGCCCTGCAGAAACAAGACAGCATCTTGGCACTATGGCTTTTTCACTTCTTTCCGCAGAAGGACTTCGGGAAGAAGTTTCTGTCCAACAAGAGAAAGCTTTCTGTCAACCCATATAGGCACATTGCACATTTGTCTATTGGAAAGTGAGGCTGCACATGTCAGGGCATAATAAATAAAAACTATATTCATTAACATTTTAATAAAAGAGGAAATGAGCATGATAAAGACAGATGGGCTGTGTATTTTGCAACCCATCTGTTTGGCAGTCCATTACAACACCACACCCATGAGTGGCTCTCGCTGACGGGCTGTAATGAAATTCGCAGCTAGTTTGGAATATCTTCCTGCTCAGCTTTCAGGCAGGTGTGGAAGAGTCATTCTCTGTCTGCCAAATCAGCTCTTTGCTTAAAAGATCTGGAAAAGCTACTGTTGTGGATTTTACCAGCCTGCAGATTTTCCTTTTTTTCCTACAGAGGTAAGGCATGGTATTCAGTCTAATCATTTCTTAGGATGTCTCCCTGGAATAAACAGCCTTGGCAGCAGTGTAAACCCCCCGCTGTCAGTTCACACGCTTTGCACACGGAGCGCCTCTGCTGCCTGAATTACATTTTCATGTTTTCAGAGAGGTGAAAAATGAAACATGTTGGAAATTAAATATTCTGCCTTCTTTTCATCCTAGCATGGTGTCATATCTTCTCCCCACAGTCATGATGGCGAGAGTCAACGAAAGGTGACATTTGGCTGGTGGAGCAGCAAAGGAGCTATGGGATCGGCTGCTTTAAAGGCTCACTCAGTTTTTACTAATACCAGCTGTTCTCATGTCCCACACTCAAAGTTAAAACTGCCTCTGGAAAGGACTGAGGATAGGGCCCCTAGCTTTTGGCAGCGTATCTGGGTATGTAGTTCAACAGAACGGCGATGCACTCGGGCCTGACAGATCACTTAGATGAAGCCACAGACAGCCTGAAAATGAAGATGAGATGTCCCAGATGCAGACCACTGCTGTCAAACTTCACACCAACATATAAATCACTAATTCAGTGCTTCGCTGGCAAGTTCTTAAGCAAGTTTAAATCCTCCAAGGCACAATGCCAGTTGGGCCATAAAGGCTGCATCTTGTAATTATTCAGTTCAAAATATATTTATTCCAGCAAAAGCTTTCTGAGAGCAGTTTCTTAACAGGAGCCTGGATGAAGTCAGCACCGAGTCGATGCTTGTAGAACAGTAACCTTTTCACGTGACGTTCCTGGCAGTGGCTTTGACTACAAACTCTCAAGGACAACCTACGTCATGGGAATTTTCATCTTCTAGGTCACACAGAAAGTTTATCCGCATTAACTATGGAAAGCCATAGTCTTTCCTCTCCCTTCTCCCCCTCCTCCTTGGCAATATTTGACTTTTGTAGACCTTTAGTCAAAAAACTGTTCACCTCGCTACATCCAAGGTGCAAGATGAAAATGAATGGGGAGAAGGAGTTAAGGTCTGGTGGACGCAGCAAGTTGCTCCAGGCGGCTTAATCAAGAAAAGGGCAGACCAGACGCTAACAGGAAT